ATTTGAATGGGAGGTGGTGCCTAGCCCAGGAAGCCTGACCCATTGTTGCCTTTATTCACATTGTTTTTAGTGTTCATTCTCTTTATTGGCTAGCTTGGAGTACTATTTCTCCCAATTTTGTTAGTTTTTGCTTTCTTTTTCTGACCCCTTTTCATTTATTTACTAGAAATTTATTTTTTCAATATAAGAACTTAAATCTTTCAAGCCAGTTTGCCTTCTAAATTTTGTTTTTTGCAGTGAATGTGCAAGTTTTATAAAGTTATTTTCTTTAATTTCTTCCTCTGTTTGAATTTTTAAAAAAGATTTATTTATGCATACAAGAGCTGGGGTGTAGGCGAGAGGTGTAGGGGCTTGTGAGGATTCACCAGAGAGGGAATGGGGAGCAGAACAGGCAGATGGACTGAAATACACTGCTGAGGGGAGCAGCGGGTGAAACAGGAGAGGTCTGCTTTGCTATGTGGGTTAGTTCCCTGGCCGGGAATGGAACTAGTGCTGCAGTGGCTGCTGATAGCTTGATAGAGGGGAGACTTAACCCCTTGCGCCACCAGGGAGGCCCCTTTTTGAATTTTTTTGATAAGAGTTTGCATCACATGAAAGTAACCATTCCATTTTAGTGTACATGTTAGTATTTTTTTTGTAAGTCAGTATTTTGAACTATCATCACTTTCTAATTCTAGAAAATTTTTATTGCCTTTATAAAACAGACCATACTTTACCAATCTTTTCTTCTTCTATCCCCTAGCAAACACTAATCTATTTTCTGTTTAGATGGATTTGCCTATTCTGAATATTTCATTTGTATAAATGGAATCATCGGGTAATGTGACATTTTTGTCTACCTTCTTTACATAATGTTTACAATAGTGGTTCGTGTTTTAGCATGTATCAACATTTCATCTTTCTTTTGGAGCATAATATTCTATTGTTCAGTCAGTGGACGGACATTTGGTTGCTTTCTACTTTTTTTGGCCATTATGAAAACTGCTGCCATAAACATTGGTGTCCATTGTTTTTGGTGTTTAGGCATGCATTTTCATTCTCCTGTACATACATACACACATACACCCACCCACCCACATGTCTGTATATACGTGTTTGCGTGTTTATATACTTACATATATATATCTAGGAGAGGAATTGCTGGGTCATCTGGTAATTCTGTATTTAGATTTTTGATTAACTACTGTTTTTCTGCAGTGACTAGAGTTTATATTCCCACCAGCAATGTATATGGATTCCAATTATCTACATCCTTACCAGAATTTATTTTTTTAAGATTTATATATTTTATTTATACAAGAGCTGGGGTGTAGGCTAGAGGTGCGGGTGGGTAAGAGGATTCACCAGAGACAGAGCAGGGAGCAGAACAGGCAGACGGACCGAAAGCACTGCTGAGGGGAACAGCGGGCAAGACAGGAGAGGTCTGCTGCGCCATGTGGGAATCTCCCTGGCCAGCCTCCCGGCTGAACCCACGCTGCAGGGGCTGTGGACAGCTTCACAGCACTGCACTCAATCTGCTGCAACACCGGGGAGGCCTACCAGAATTTATTTTTTTAAAAATATACCCATCCGAATAAGTGTAAAATAATATTTTATTATTTTTTTTTAAAGATTTATTTATGCACACAAGAACTAGGGTATAGGCCAGAGGTGTGGGGGGGTGAGAGGATTCACCAGAGACAGAGTAGGGAAATCGACTGAAATACACTGCTGAGGGGAGCAGCAGGCGAGTCAGTTGAGGTCTGCTGCGCCATATGGGTAGCTCCCCTGGCAGTGGATCGAACTCATGCTGCAGTGGCTGCAGGTAGCTTCATAGGTTGTGTCTTAATCCCTTGCGCTACCGGGGAGGCCCTTCTTATGGTTTTGATAGCATTTTTCTAATAAACAATAAGCTTGAGCATTTTTAATGATTTACTGGCCATTTGTATACGTTCTTTGAAGAAATTTCTGAATTCTTTGCCCATTTTGAAATTGGCTTCCTTGCCTTTCTTTAAAAATTAAAAAATATTAGAGTATTTATTTTGGCTTCCTTTATTTATTCATTCATTCATTCATTCATTCATTCATTCATTTTTGTGGGACCCTCGCTGGCTGCCGGGGAATGAACCGGTGCTGCAGAGGCTTCGGGCAGCCTTGCAGCCCAGCGCTCAACCGCTGCGCCACCAGGGGAGGCCCTATTTTGGCTTCTTAATTTTAATTTTTAAGTTTTTAAATTAGCTTTTTTGAAAGTAACATTGGTTTATAGGATTATCTAATTTTCAGGTTTATAAGACTATAGTTTATCATTTGTGTGTGCTACTTTATGGTCTTCACCAACATACAATTGACCTCCATTTACTGATTTGCCTGCCCACCCCCCCTTCTTATTTTATTCTTGTAATCTCTGTTTCTCTTTTGATTTTTTCATTTAGTAACATTGCATTCTACTATTTGTTTTGGTGTACATCAGTGAGAATCAATATGTGTTTTTACTTCATTAAGTTCACCACTAATCTAGTTCTGTACCTTCTCCATGCGATTATTCCCTTTATCCCAGGTTACCCACTACTTTTCCCCCTTCCCTTCTGATAACTGCCAATTGGTCTTATAGTCTGAAAGTTTGTTTTTGGTTGAATTAGATCCTTGCTTTTCCAATATTCTACATATGAATGAGAATATTCAGTGTTTAATTTTCTCTGGCTTATTTTACAAAGCATAATTCTCACTACATCCATCATGTTGGGAATGGAAGGATTTAATTTTTAGCTGAATAGCATTCCTCTGTGTGTGTGTGTGTGTTTGTGTGTAGATATATATATACACACACACACACACCACATCTTCTTTATTCATTTGTTAGTTGATGGGCACTTAGGTTGTTTCCAGTTCTTGCCCATTATAAATGATGCTGCCATATATATGGGGCTCCATATATCTCTTTAATTAGTGTTTTTGTATATTTTGGGTAAATACTCTATGAAGTGGGATAACTGCATCATGTAGAATTTCTGTTTTTAATTATTTGAGGAATCTCCACACTGTTCCTTGAAGCCAGACCAGTTTGCATTCCCAGCAACAGTGTATAAGGGCTTCTTTTTCCCTGCCACCGCTCCAACACTTGTTTTTTTTTTTTTTTAAAGTTAAATTATTTTTAAAGATCAGTTTTCTTTTTAATTTATTTATTTTCTTACATCGTGTTCATTTTTTTTTTAAAAAGATTTATTTATTTATTTATACAAGCACTGGGTACAGTCAGAGGTGCGGGAGGGTGAGAGAATTCACCAGAGCCAGAGCGGGGAGCAGAGCAGGCAGAAGGACTGAAGCGCACTGCTGTGGGGAGCAGCGGGCGGCAGGGGAGGTCTGTGTGCCATGTGGGACCCTCCTCCGGTGGCCGGGGATCGAACTGGCGCTGCAGAGGCTGCGGGCAGCTTCGCAACCCAGCACTCAACCACTGCGCCACCGGGGAGGCCCAAAGTTAAATTATTTTTATTGCAGTAACATTGGTTTACAACACTGTACATGATTCATGGGAATAATAGCTTCATACCACTTCAGATGTATGTTTCTTCATCACACCCACCACCAAGGCATCCATAGTCCTCTGCCATAGATACTGGTCTCCCTCCCTGCTTTGTTCCTGCCACCACTCTCCCCCACCACCCCAACACCAGTATTTGTTTCTTGTGTTTTGGGTAATTGCCAATCTCACAGGTGATAGGTACTATCTCATTTTGTTTTGATTGGCATTTCTCTAGTGATAAGAGATAATATACATTTTTTCATGTATCTACTGGCCATCTCTCTGTCTTTGGAGAAGTGTCTGTTTATATCCTCTGCCCATTTTTTAAATTGAGTTCTTTGTTTTTTTATTGTTGTTTTATGAGTTCCTTTTATATTTTGGATATTAATCCCTTAATGGATGTATGATGTCCATGTATTTTCTCCCATTCAGTAGTAATGTTTTCTTTTTTTTTTCTGATGCAGTTTCTTTCTCTGTAGAAGCTTCCTATTTTGATTTCGTCCTATTTGTTTATTTTTGCTTTTGTATCCTTTGCTGTTGGAGTTGAACCCCCAAACATCTCTAAGACTGATGTCAAGGGGCATATAGCCAGTGTTTTATTTATTTTATGGTTTCAGGTGTTACATCTAAGTTTTTAATACACTTAGAATTTATTTTTTGTATGGTGTTGGGTAGTGATATAATTTTATTCATTTGCATGTGGCTATCCAGTTATTCCAACATCATTCGTGTATTTAAAATTCTTTACATTATGAAAAGGATAAATCATACCCTTTTAAAAGCTATATGTTTTATAATAGGATATTAATACTATTTAAAATATATGATTTAAAAGTTGTTTTCTCTACTTGTGTAAATTGTCTTATCACACTTGATACTATATTTTTGGTAACAGAACTTTTGAAGTTTGATGAAGTCAATTTTATCCTCTTAGGAAATGTTTTATTAGAAACGAGACACCTGTTTTACTTTCTGCATTTTAACTTTTAATTCTTTAAAAACAAGTTTGGAATATAGATACATTATATAACTTAACAGGATATACTGTAATAATGTATTTACATAAGTATTTCCCCAATTATCTGTGATCTCTTCTAAGTCCTATTCTGTTTTATTTATCTGTCAGTCAGTAACATAATTATTCTGTCCCAAACAGAGGATAGAGTAATAAAGAAGAAAACCTCTGCAGCCTACCAGAGAGTAAGTGCTCAGTAAATATATTTGACAAATTACTGATTTTTTATTTTCAATGATGTATATAGCAGAATCAGATGTCAGTATTTTCCTTGAATTATATTTCAATCCTAGGCATGCATGTACAGGTAGGTCGTGTTACTCATATTTTTATATACGCAGTGAAATAAAATTTGTTTAATTTTTATTTTGAATATTCTTTTAGATCACTTACAGTACAGATGTGTTTTCAGTTTATTAGGTTTTAAACTTAATTGTATACTTGATAACCTTATTAAGGAAATTCTGTAAATTTTTGTTTTGATAGTGAAAGCAAGTTGAATACATTGGTGCAGAAGCTTCATGACTTCCTGGCACACTCATCAGAAGAATCTGAAGAAACAAGTTCACCTCCACAACTAGTGATGAACCAAAGCACAGGTAAATTAAGAAAGAATGTGCAATATCTTCTAGTCTTTATGGGGTCACAAGCTATTAAAGGTTTTAACAGCCTTTTCTATATATATTCAATTTTTAAATTTAGGTAAGTAAAAATGTAAGGTGACAGGTGATTAGTGAAGGATACACTTAGGGTTTTTTTGGAAAGTTTTTATTTATTTATGCATACAGGAACTTGGGTATAAGCCAGAGGGATGGGGGGGGGTGGTGGTGGTGGTGGTGGTGAGAGGATTCACCAGAGACAGAGTGGGGAGCAGAACAGACAGATCTACTGAAATACACTGCTGAGGGGAGCAGGGGGGGCCAGGCAGGAGAAGTCTGCTGCGCCATGTGAGTTGCTCCCTGGCAGGCAGGGCATCAAACTCGTGCTGCAGTGGCTGGTGATAGCTTGATAGTGGTGTCTTTAACCCCTGTACCACCATGGAGGACCCATACTCAGGGTTTTATGCATAATGGAAATGGCTTATAGCAGGGTTAATGAAGGGTTACTTAGAAGAAGTGACAATGGAGTAGAAATGTATTACTCAAGCAGTTATTTATGTATTATGATTTAAAGTTTTATATTTGTGATTTGTTGCTTTTTTTTTAATTGCTAACATTGCATGACAACATTATATAGGTTTCAGGTATGCATCAGTAAGAATCAACATGTGTATATACTATAATAAATTAACCAATAAAAGTCCAAATCTAGACTTTATGTCACTATTGTGTCCTTTCTTCTGACTTACCCACCTTTTTCATCCTTCCCTTTTTGGTAATCTCCAATTGGTCTTAGTCCAAATTTTTGTTTTTATTTAATTCATTTGTTTGTATTGTAAATGTGCCATATATAAGTGAAATCAGTACCATGGTATTTCACTAAACCTAATTTCCTCTAGGTACATCCATGTTGTTAGAAATGGAAAAATTTCATTTGTTTTTATAGCTAAATAGTAGTCCATTATATATTTATGCCACATATTTTTTCCATTTCTAAATCAGTGGGCAGTTAGGTTTTTTCACGTCTTGTTTATTCTAAATAATGCTTCATTCAACATGGTGGTGCATATATCTCTTTAAATTAGTTTTTGCATTTTTTGGTAAATAACCAAAAACTGCATTATATAAATTTTATTTTTTTAAAAGATTTATTGTTAAGCATACCAGAACTGGGGTATAAGTCAGAGGTGTGGGGGTTGAGAGGATTCACTAGAGACAGAGTGGGGAACAGAACAGACAGACTGACTGAAATACACTGCTGAGGGGAACAGTACGCGAGACAGGAGAGGCCTGCTGCGCCATGTGGGTAGCTCCCTGGCCGGTGGGGTTTGAACTTGTGCAGCAGAGGTTGTGGATAACTTCACAGTGCTGTGCTTACGCTTGCGCCACTGGGGGCGAGGCGGGGGCTAGAATTTTATTTTTAATTTTCTGAGAAATCTCCTTACTGCTTTTCATGATGACTATACCACTTTACAATCCAATCAACAGTGTATAAGGTTTCTCTGCTCCCTACATCTCCTCCAACACTTATTTTTTTTGTGTTTTAGATAATAGCCAAATGCATAGGTGATTGGTACTCTCTTAGTGTTTTGATTTGAGTTTCTCTAGTAAGAGATGATAAATATGTTTTCATGTGCCTATTGGGCCATCTATGCCCTCAGAGAAGTGTCTGTGCAGATCCTCTGCCCATTTTTTATTTTTACTTGTTTTAAAGATTTATTTATTTTATACAAGAACCGGGGTACAGGCCAGATGTGTGGGAGGGTGAGAGGATTCACCAGAGACAGAGTGGGGAACAGAACAGGCAGATCAACCAAATACACTGCTGATGGTAGCAGTGGGCGTGACAGGAGAGGTCTGCCGCACCATGTGTGACCCTCGCCGGCTGGCTGGGATCGAACCGGCACTGCAAAGGCTGTGGGCAGCCTCACAGCGTGGTGCTCAACCGCCTTTGTCACCAGGGGAAGCCCGTATGCCCATTTTTTAATTGGGTTGTTTGCATTTTAATTGTTTTATGATTTCCTTATATATTTTAAATACTAACACCTTGATGCATGTAGGATGGTACAGATATCTTCTCCCATTCAGTAATGTTTTCTTGTTCTGATGATTTCTTTCTTGTGCAGAAGCTTTTTAGTTTGATTTAGTCTCAATTTGTTTATTTTTGCTTTTGTTTCCCTTGTGTTGGAGTCTAGTTCCCAAACACATCTCTAAGGCTGCTATCAGGGAGTTTGTGGTCTATGTTCTCTTCTAAGTAATTATGGATTCAGGTGTTGCATCTAAACTTTTAATACATCTATTTATTATTATTTTATTTTTTTAAGATTTATTTATTTATCCAAGCACTGGGTACAGTCAGAAGTGCAGGAGGGTGAGAGAATGCACCAGAGCGGGGAGCAGAACAGACAGATTGATGAAATACACTGCAGAGGGGAGCAGCGGGCACGGCAGGAGAGGTCTGCGCACCATGTGGGACCCTCGCTGGTGGCCGAGGATCGAACCAGCGCTGCAGAGGCTGTGGGCAGCTTCGCAGCCCAGCGCTTAACCATTGTGCCACTGGGGAGGCCCTACACCTAATTTTTTAATACATTTTGAATTAATTTTTTTGTGTGTGGTGTTGGGTAGTAGTGCAACTTCCTTCTTTTGTATGTGGCTGTCCAGTTTACCAAATACCATTATCCTAGAGGATTTCTTGCTCCATTGTAAACTCTGGCTCTTTTAAATTGTTGTCCATGTGTTTGTGGTTTAATTCACGGCTCTCAATTCTGTTCCAGTGATCTTTGTTCTTTGTTTATTGTAATAACAATCTGTTTTGGGGCCTCCCTGGTGGCACAGGGGGTTAAGTCTCAGCTATATGAAGCTATTGGCAGTCACTGCAGCATAAGTTCGATCCCTGGCCAGGGAGCTAACCCACATGGCACAGCAGACCTCTGCTGTTTCATCCGCTGATCTCAGCAGAACAGATCCGCCTGTTCTGCTCCCCCCTCTGTCTCTGGTGAATCCTCTCACCCCCCACACCTCAGGCCTATACCCCAGTTCTTATGTGCATAAATAAATAAATCTTTAAAAAAACAGTCTGTTTTAATTACTGTTGCTTTGTATTATAATTTGAAGTTGTGTAGCATATAGTACCTCTACTTTTTCCCCCCTTTTTTCTCAGGAGTGTTTTTGTTTCCTAGCCCTTTTGTATTATATAAATACCATGATTTTTTTTTTCTCCTGTGAAGAATGCTGTTGGGATTTTGAAAAAAAAAATACATTGAATCTATTACTTTTGGTAAATAGCTATTTTAATGATATTAATTCTTCAGTTCATGAACATGGAATATCTTTCTATCTCTTTTATGTGTTTTTCTTTAAACAATGTCTTACAGTGTTTTGGTATAAGGATCTTTCACTTATTTCGTTAAACTTATTCCAAAGTATTTAATTCTTTTTGATGTGATTGTAAATGAGATTGTTTTCCTGCTAGTTCATTATTTGTGTATATAAACAGAAGAAATTTTTGTATATTAAGTTTGGTTATCTAATCCACAGCCCCTATTCTTAATGTGTCCATTGCGCCAATGTTGGTTTTGTAGGTAAGTTCCCCTCTCTTCAAGTTCAGGATCCAGTTGCATTTAATTAAATTGTGTATTTTTTTAAAAATCTGAAACTTTCTCTCTAGGAACCATGATGCTTTTGAAATGTGAAATGATGGTATTTTTGTGACTATCTCTTAATGTGCATTTGACTGATTAGTTATAATTAGGTTCGGGTTACTTATTTTTGTCAGAAATACTAGATAAGTGTTGTTCTTGTTAGTAAATCATAATACAAGTCAGATTATATAATTTTTCCCTTATTGGTGATGTTGACTTGGGTTAACTTGTTATGGTTTTGCTAGATTATTCCATTCTGTCAAAATATTTATTTGTTTGTCACTAATAAGTAATTCGTTGGAGATAACTTTGGTTCTTAGGTATTAACTTACCATTTTCTATCACAGACCTACTACAAACTTGGCAGCATAAAACAACCCAAATTTATGATCTCCAGTTATGTATGTCAGGAGCCTAGTGAGCCTTTCTGTGTTGTTCTTTGGGTATCATAAGCCTGGTGTTAAAAGTGTCAGTATGACTGATCTTCTCTGTAGGTTCTTTGGGAAAATCTATTCCTATACTAATACATGGTTTGGCTGAATTCAGTTCTTGTGGTTGTAGATCTGAGATACCCATTTTTGGTTCTCTATTGGCCAGAATCCTCTTTCTTGGGTCCTTATCTCTGGATTCTTCTCTCATGGCCTCTTTCATCTTCAGAGTAATAGCACATTGAGTTTTTATTATGTAGTGAATCTTTCTATCTTACACTTTGCTTGCTTTTTATGCCCCTTTGTATTAGGTGGAGACTTGCTTCTACTTTTAAAGACTAGTATGATTAGTTTAGTCCCCTTCCTCTCATCTTCCTCTAGCCAACCCGATAACCTCACTTTTTAATGTCAACTGTGCTATTTTGCCTACCAAAGTCATGGAATAGTACTTCATATTGACAGGGCCTAGAGCTTAAGGAGTACATAATCTTGGAGGCCATTAGTGGAAATTCTGCCTACCAGTGCATCCATTCATAATTATTGATTGAATGATATATTACTATAATGGCTTTAAAGTGTTGATGTTCTAATCTGTTGTCCCTTCAGTACTTTAGTTGATACAACAATATAAGGGAGAGGTTTACATTCTAACCTCTGTATTCATTTGTTTATGTATTTACTAAAATTCTTTCTTTTTCCACAAATATTCTGTTGCCATTATTATTTCAGGCCTCAAATTGTATCACTATTGGGAGCTCTTTGTGTTTGACTCCTACTGACATTTTTTCACACATCTTCTTCATCCTTGAGCACTTACTTACTTTCTGCCCCAACAAGATATTCATGTTTACACTGTTC